AAGAAAACAACCCACTTCCTTCCCTTACGAACCAAGGGACGCACACCACCCATGTACTTATTCGCTATACTGATACTGACTTGGACTCTTAATACATTCCATGGGTGGTGTACCCGAGCCCACCTATCCACTGACGCTTTAAAAACTCCCACACTCCAATCTGGGTCTAAGATGGTTATGTGATATGTATGTATGTCGTGATCCTTGTAACCTGTAACCCCTCGTAACTCAAGCCTGACCCCAGACGTACAGTACCTTCCCTCTTAACTTGTGTATATTTAATTTTAAACATTAACTTTAATAAAATTTACACCAGTGCAAAGTAAATGCAAAGTAGGCCCCAAATGCTACCATTCTGATGGGATAGCCTTTGACACTTACTTTGCACTGATGTAAATAGCTTCACTAGGTGCAGGACAATGGAAAATCAGGATGTGTGTATGTGTGGGTATGTCAACTCCCTCCTCCAATAAAAGACCTGTGACACAGCTGTGGCTGGCATGGATCAGCTGACTTGGACTCCTAGGCTCAGGCTGTAGGGCTATAAAATTGTAGTGTAGATGTTCAGGCTTGGGTTGGGAGAGGCATCTTTGTATAAATCCTGACTATAATGAGTGTACTTGTGTCAGATGGTCAGGGTAATGGTTGCATATAACCTGCCCTAGTGGGGAGAGGATCAGGCATATGTCTTGACTGTACCATGATCTTGCTAATGAAACATTTGACCATAGACCGTGTGTGCGTGTGTGCGCGCACATTTAAATCCTGCTCATAGCGGGAAGGGTGTGTTTGTATAAATTCTGATCTGGACAAGGGAAGAAGGGGAGATGGTTTCCTGCATAAATCCTGCCCACCCTGGGGAAGGACTAGCTGTACAAACTGTAACTATAATGGGGACATGGTATAATCTGCCTAAATCCTGGGGCTAATGAGGAAATGACATCTGCATAAGTGCTGACTACAGTAGTAGGAGTGGGTGTCTGCATCACTGCCGTTCATAGTGGCAGGGAGGGGGTGTCCGCAGAAACCCTGATCATAGGGTTTTTTGTTAAGTATCAGGGTTAGCCGTGTTAGTCTGTAGCTACAAAAACGACAAGGAGTCTGGTGGCACCTTAAAGACTAACCGATTTATTTGGGCATAAGCTTTCATGGGTAAAAACCTCACTTCTTCAGATGCATCTGAAGAAGTGAGGTTTT